TTTCTGAGAATTTCGATGTCCTTAGGTCAATTGTTCTCCGCGAAGTCATGTTTTAATGTTTTATGCTAATTTTTTCCATTGAGTTCAATGGGAAAATTCGAACGAAACAAGATAATGTGAATTTTGTCGAGAACGATTGACCTAAGGACATCATAATTTCTCAGAAATTATTCAGTATGCTTTTGTTTTTTTGTGAAATTATTTATAAAAATTTTGACCTATCGGGTCGTGATTAATTACTCTTATTAAATTTATCGCCATAGAAACCAATGTTGAACGAGAAAGTTCATAACTTGGTTCATGATCGATTTTTTCGGTTGATTTTTTGCACGAAGGCTGCTCTTAAATTGTTCAATTGAATAGCAAAATTAGAAGAAAAAATTCGAACGCTGTCGCTATTTTTCATGAAATGCTTTAAACTTTTGACAAAAAAGATGCCATGTAAAATTAACAGCGTCTAATTAATTAATCACTCACTGATTTACTGAAATAAATTTAGGTGAAATTTTTTGTTTTATCAGTAGACAATACCTGTGAAAATATTATACTAAAAAAAAGACTAGTATTGGTAACCTAAAAGTGTACCTAAATTTGATTTGATTTTGCACAAATCGTTGGCTTTAAACTTTTGAATATGACTGTAAAAGTAAATAATTCAACTACATGATTATTGTTATTCATTTTTTATCAATAAAATGTCTGAGTTGCAGTAAAAAATGTAATAATTGAGCCAAAATTGTTCAACTTAAGTATAAAATATCAAATAAGTTTATCATCTTTGGCAAGAGAATAAAAAACGGATTCTTTGTTGTCCAATAAAATTTTAGGCACATCGAATTCAACAATTTGTCCATTATCTAAAACCATTACTCGGTCAGAATCTAATATGGTATGCAAACGATGGGCAATGGTTAAAATTGTACAATCTTTAAATTGTGAGCGAATCGTCTTCTGTATCAAATTATCAGTTTCCAAGTCAATTGCTGCTGTGGCTTCGTCAAGAACTATAATAGAATTGAACAAAATATGTATTATTAATCCGATTCGGTCATCCTAATGATACTATTCACATAATATACTAACGAAATTTAGTTAATTACTTACTCAGAATTTTAGGCTTTTTTAGCAAAGCTCGAGCTAAGCAAAGAAGTTGTTTCTGACCAACACTCAAATTTGCGCCATCTTTATCAATATTATAATCGAGATCTTCACCAATTTTAGTGAAATAATCTTTGAGGTAAACGAGGGAAAGTGCTGACCAAATATCATTATCTGAATTTTGGCTGAAAGGATCCAGATTGAATCTTAATGTACCAGCAAAAAGGACCGGATCTTGAGGTATGATTGCAAGACGAGATCGCAAAAAATGCAATGGCAAATCACTTATATTGTAATTATCAATATAAATTGCTCCGCTTGATGGTTCCAGGAGTCTAAATAGAGATAATGTTATGGTTGATTTTCCAGCTCCAGTTCTTCCAACGATTCCAATCTTTTCTTTGGCTTTAATAAAAGCTGTTATCCCTTTTAAAACAGGCTCATTTTTAGGAGTATAACGAGTCTCATAGCGATCAAACTTTATTGATCCTTTTTCAGGCCAACTATCCTCTGGTTCAATTTTACCTTTATACCAATCAGCTTCACTTTCCAATTTTGAATAGCTCAATAAACGTTCAAAACCAATTGCGTTGGACTCAATGTACGAAGGATATCGTACTAATTGGGAAAACGATCTGGTTACATTAAGAGCATATGTCAATATAAGTCCAACAACACCAGAGTCAAGGGATTCTCGTTTGAGTACAACAAATAAAGCGACAAACAAGGTTATCAGATGGCTACAAAAATTTAATCTCATGTGGAGCCATATTTTAGAGATAGAACGTGCTATAGAATGAACTGATTTTCTATCATATTTTTCCGAAAATTTTTTGATGAATCGATCAGTTGCACCGTAAGTTTGAATTGTATTCAAACCATTCAACGTTTCACTAAAATGTGAATAGATCGGCGATTTAGCACTGGAATAAATGCGCTCAAGTTGAAGCGCTAGAGAACTATGAATACGCTGAATATACCAATAAAGCAAACAAATTGGTATGAAAACAAAAATGAATAACGGTATGTTAACGAATATAACAATGAAATACGATAATGCGTTGACCAAAGAATCGAAAAACATCCTGAAACAAGATATTAAATATAATACATTGGTTAATGAACTTTACTATGCATGAATTTCAATTTGATAAAGTATTTATATAAGCCATTCCCAAATAATAGGAAATTCAAAAAAGTTCATAACTCACAGTGTGCTTTGAAGTAGACTTGAATCTGCTCGTTGCAAATCCCCAGAGAAAAGAGTAATTATAGTGCCAGTGGAAGTGCGGTCAAAGAAGGCGATAGGAGCTCGAAGAATTCCAAATAATAAATTTTGGTGAAGTTTAATAGCTAAATTTAATGATCCATTGAAAATAACCAAAGAATCCGAAATGGCTAAAAGACCTGGAATCATGATTATTCTTATTAAAATGTACTCTAAATTACATTGAATAAAGCACAAAATATTTAAAAAGGTATTAACCTTGAGCGATTCCTAAACCAGCATAAACTGCAAGTCTCATTTTGACAGAGTTTGGTGAAAAGTCACTCGATAAGTGATCAATTGACCACTTGGATAACCAAATATCAGATATTAAAGATGAACAAGATGAGAAAAGCTTTGATATTACTATAACAGCAATCCAAAAGAATGAGATCATTCTGAAATATTCCAGATACACAGGCCATTTCACTCTTCCAGTTTTTGTATCTTCATCTTTATCTACCTCTTTATGTTCAGTTGCAGTTATTTCTCCTTCATTATGTACCAATGATATTTCTTTGTTTATAACTTGGCTGCATTCATCAGACTTTTGTCCATCCGAAGTAAAAGTGAATTGTTTTACTAAATTATAGAAATCTCCCCTTGAATTAACCAACTCCTGATAAGTTCCAGCTTCATTTGTTCGGCCATTGTTGAGCACATAAATATAGTCAACATTAGATAAAATGTCCAATTTATTAGTGACTAAAACTCGAGTTTTATCCCGGAGAATCCCGCTTTCTGAGTTCAACACTCGGTTGAATAGATGTTTAGATACATGAGCATCAACAGCACTCAACGGATCATCCATAATGAATATGTCAGCATCACTATAACAAGCTCGAGCTAAACTGATTCTCTGTTTTTGGCCACCAGAAAGGTTGATACCTTTTTCACCAATTTCAGTTTTATCTCCTTTAGGTAAATAAGCAAGATCAGGTTCAAGAGCACAAACTGAAATAATCTCTTCATATCTAGTTTTATTGAAAGGGTTTTCAAATAAAATATTATCACGTATAGTTGCATTTTGAATCCATGCTTGCTGTGAAACATAAGCAATCTTCGATTTTCCATTGATGTTGACTAGACCGGAAACTTTCTCCATTTCACCCAAAATTGCACTTAATAATGAACTTTTTCCTGAGCCAACAGATCCAACAATCGCCACAAATGAGCCTGGTTTGACATGTATGTTTATATTTTTTAAATCTGGTTCTGTATAAAAAGGGGAAACAGATTCTTCTTCGTTCTCTGAATCATCTAAATCGTCACTCGAATCATCTGAACCGTCACTCAAATCCTCTAAATCCTCATCCGAATCATCTTGAGACTTTTCCAGAAAATTTTGCTTATTCTTTCGTTTTTTACTCCATTTAAAGTCAGCATTTTCGACAGAAATGTCATATTCACTAACATATCGCGTTACATATGAATCAAGTTCATCAAGATTTAAAAATTCATTGATCCTTTTCATAGATTCTGAATTCTGTAAGAAACAAAAGACATAAATTAGTAAAAATGCATTAACAATGATTAAATTTAGCACACTTGGAAATCGTTTTATAGTAAGTTGTCTTATCACAATGAATTAGAGTTATTGAATGATTAAAATTTTGTTTAGTTATTCAATGCAGACTATTATATACTTAAGTACCTTTCTTAGAGACATTATTTCGTAGAAGAAGTAACCCAGGTCTGATTTAAGGGTTGATAGATAGGATAAAGAGACGAAAGTTTTTTGCGCTGTAAGTATTCCTCCTTGAACCAAAACATAAATAGCAAAAGTTCCAACAGATACCATGGAGGATGAAAAAGTCCATACGAATTCGAACAAGGAATCATTGTAGGTCATTTTTCTTGAAAGTTCCATCTCTTCTTTTCTTAGCTTATTGGTTTTTTTGATAAAAGATTCTTCCCAAGCATAGAATTTGATTATTCGAATACTGTTTAGTATTTCATAAACAGATTCAATTCTTTTGTCGTTTATTTTGCTGTGTTCTTGACGCAACCTTTTATATCGTTTCGATATAATTCTATTGGCTAAAGATGTGCCAATCACAATGAATATCGCGACAAATGCTGAGTACCCCAATTCAGAATAAAGAATAAGCAAACTGCAAATAATTCGTACCGGGATAGACCATAAGGTATTCAATGAAAACATCGTAGAATAAAATTTTTGTGAATCGGATGTCATCAAATTGACTATTTTACCAGAAGATACTTTTTTCTTTGCTTTAGCGCCAAGATAGAGGGATTTTCTGAATATTGATGCACAAATTATTGCAAAAACCTTTTCTCCGATAGTATCGTGCAAATATGAATCTTGAGCATTAATCAGATTTTCAATACACGAAACGATAAACATTGCACCAGCAATCATGAATCCATGCCATATTGGAACTGATGCTTTTTTCTCAATAAAATTTATCAGCAATCTGAAAAAAGGAAATATAGATGAGTATATATTAATAATAGACGAGTTACGATGCATGTCCTAAACATTCAGAAACTTACTTTATAAAAAGGGGAGAGAATAGAGATAAAATATCGATCAAAAATTGAAAAATTGATAGCAAAACAAAATATCCCCAAAATTTTTTCAACAAAATTAGGACTAAATTAATATTTGTCTTTGATCCTCTTTTGGCTTTTGACACATCAGCTTCAAATGATTTGTGAAGGTTTTCAGTCTTACTATCATCTGGAAGATCCCAGAGATCATCGATAGTTGTTTCTCTTTTTCTGCCAAGAAATACTAAACTATTGAACCACCAAAAGGTTAGCTGATTAAGGAATGATACTTCATTTTCTGGAATCAAATGTTTGCTTTGTACATCAACTTGCTCATTGGTCGCCAGATATTCAACATTAATAATTGGTCCATCAGCAAATGAAATAACAATCAGGAGTGATAAAATCACACCAAATTGGAAGTTAAATATGATAAATTCAAATGTTGAATTATTTTGTGTGTCAATCCACGTTTGACAAGTGATTAAAAATGTAGTAATTGTTTGTAAAAAACAATAAATCCATATTACAGCACTGGTATGGATTCCAAGAAGTCGGTGGTAATAGAAGAAGAAAATGATTAATGTCTGTAATAAGAAAAATAAGTGAAAAGATATCACAAAACCATGTTATTATTATCAAACTTCCCATGAAGTTGAGTAGACAGAAATTGAATTGCATCTACTCTCGACAATAACTAATCACAATGCAAAGTTTTACATATCATTATCAAACAATTACAACATACATTGGTTAATTCAATTAAAGTCAAGTATCATCTATTGATGGCATGACAAGCTATTACTTACAAGAGATGCAACATTAGCCAAAGGGACATGTAAATCAACAGGAGTTATTGAATCTTCTGACTTGTAAAGTATGCGTCCAAATTGTAAGTCATTCAAAAATATATAAGCCAACGATAAAATTACACAAATAAAATTATGGCGATTCCATTTAATTGTCTTGTTTTTCACTCTAGCAATCCTTAAAAATTCAAAGAAACAAAAAAACCAAAGAAAAATCGTTGGCAACCAATTAAGTATTGTCCTCTTGAAACATTGTGTTAATCCGGGTTTAGATGAACTCCATAACGAATCATGTTCCTAAAAATTAAAAATAACAGCTGATTAATAAAACAGGATAAAAAAGTATTTAATTAGGTAAATAATGATGTAATAATCCTCGTGAATTTAATCATGTTGAAGCTCTAAGAAAGATTAAACATCGTTATGCTTGACACAATTCAATGAAGCTTACCCAAAGAGATGAGTTACCACAAACAAACACAAAATTAATTGAATCAAAGCGCATTTTTTAAAGTTGATCAACCTGTCAATTGAAACATGTCGGTTGATCGCAACTAAGAGACATAATAAAATGTGAATCAAAATGTTTTTGTTTATGTTTCAATATTCAGTTTCCATCTAGTTCAGCTAGAGGGAACTTGTTTCGGTAGGAGAAATTTTCATAAAACTTTCACCATGAATTTCATGGAATGAAAGTTGCACCGATTTATGTTTTGATTATTAATACTTACAATGTTAGTGATGCACAACAAGATGGCAGTAGCTCTCATGTCTGATTCCTAAAAGCTTTTTGTGATAAATATTGCTTTGTTTAACTTAATTGTGACAATTTAATCAGTTTGAATTATACTTGAACTAATCTTTCAAAAATTAATACATATTTCATTGGTGACAATCAAAGGGTTTGTATTTAATAGCTAAAACTAGGTCAGACGATCGCCAACATAGGAGTGTGCGGAAAGAATACAGGGGCGTTCTCGTTTGATTATAACAATTTTTGTCAATTTATTCATTCGTTAACAATATACGAAATGGTTTTCGTGATGAGTAACGATTTTTTCTTCAAATATTTTCGCATCAATACAATATATAGAGTCAAAACATGAAATTTTGCTTAAAGATAGTGAGAAACTAAGAGGATTTTAAAGAAAATTTTTATACAGTCTGCTAGTGTTGCACTGATATTGTGAAGATTAACACTTTTCCCTTATTTGCTACCCCCTTTTCTTTCCAATTTTACCTTTGTCCCTAACCATAGCCCGAGGGTAAACATAAGAGTAAAGTTAATCATGTCCCGATGTATCTTGAGGGTGCCGCTAAGAAATGGTATACTCAGGAAGTTAAGCCTCAACTCGCTACTATCAAGTGGACAGCTCTCGTGTCTGAGATGCGGAATATCTTCTTACCCTCTGACTATATGACTTGCCTTCGTGATGACTTGAGAAATCGACGCCAACTCAGAAGTGAATCGGTCTCATCTTATATTGTAGACATTAGGGATCTTTGTGCCAATGTGAATCCGGATATGAATGAGAAGGAAATTTTCGACTTTCTTTTTGCTGGTTTGTTACCCCAATTGAAGAGTAAAATACTCGAATGGGAACCAGTCACCATAAAAAAGTTCATAGAATGTGCAAAGAAAGCTGAACGATCTCAGGGCATTTCTAATGATCACTCATCTTCGAATTCTGATGTGACAGCAACCCAAGTTCAGTTGGAACAGTTGACGGATCTGGTGAAAATTTTACAGCTTGATCTTCAACGGAACAAACCAGAACCGGACGAGTCTTTTTTGACTCGCTCTGGATCGATAAAGGAGCGAACAGTGGATAGTCGACCAGTATGCTGGAGGTGCAATCGACCAGGTCATCAGCAGAGCAATTGTCGGGTAAATCGTTCTTTCAGAAGTTATCCGTCTCAATACCAGCAGGATTCACAATCCTATGATCATTCACCTAACATAGCGCCAACTAACCAACCCCTTTTTACAATCAATACCGACCGCCAATTAATCAACCGGTCTTCTATAACCAATATCAACGCCAACAACCACCAAATTTTGAGCTGCTTCTTTGACGCACTTACAATTACCATAGAGAAAATCCAAATTACCGGGGTATTCAGCCATACTTATACATTGGTTGGTAGTTCACAACTACCTTGCATTTATCGCATATGCTTATTTTTGGGTTGATCTGCGTACAAAAACACTAAGTTTGCCAAACCAGTATCCGTGTACTTTAGTAAACCCTTTATTCAACTTTCGATGCATAGCCATTTTGTTTCCTTCCCTTTATTATTTTGTTTCCCTATTTTCTCTGGCTATACTGTTCCTATTCCGGTCATGATTAAATTCAACATTTCTCGATGCTCCATAAACATAAATCAACTTTAAAACCCGAATTTAGAAGTCTAAATTTTTCCCCATAGGATTAACATGGGTAGTTTTTAGGTAAATTTTCCAAAAAATTTGTCATGTTAATTTTTCCTGAACCACCCAACCGATTTCAGACAAATTCATGTCTGCAAGTTTTTTGCCATCTATTATAGATGTTGTAACATTTAAAATTTGAAAACCGAAAATTGAATTTTCAACCATCGAGATAGCATGGGAACATAAAAACAAAAATTTTGTGCACTCAAATTTTCTTGAATCATTGAACCGATTCCAGCCATACTAATGTCTACAAGTTCGTTTAAACATATTCTAAACAATAGTAACACTTAAAATTTGAAGCTCGTAAAAAGATATTTTAATCACATATTCTTGGGAATATAATAATACTGTAATGTATTTTATTTATTCTTAGTAATACACAAAATAGAACCATACTTATTTTTTGATTTTCGTCCCGAGCTGATGCTTCGGCGGTCTAAAGGTGGAATATAGTGCTCCAGTAATGAAGCACCAACGCAGTCTACACCTCTTTCGATACAACCCCAGACAACAAAATTATGTCTTATAGATCCTGGGTATGGGCAGGCTTTTTCATGTGTAATCATTTGGTTGCGACGTCCACCACCTTTTCCGCACCAGCGGCACTTAAATTTTCCCTCAATACGACGGTTTGGATCGTAGCCATTCAGCAGATCCAAATCCTCCTTAGTCACTTTTCTTATCGGAATATGTTGATCATATTGATAGATGTCTGACATCCTCACCGGTGTTGGTTTCCAGTGAGCTACGGCCCATAGCTCGGCATGAGTTCCGTCATTTCTGACGGCTCGGAAACAATGCGTAAACTTTTCCACATCGTAGTACCCGTTGATAGGGGCGGCTGCACTTTCGGGACAAGTACCGGCTACGGGTTCTTCAATTCCTTCACCGTTAACAGTTGTTATGCGAGTTATCGATGTTGAATTAGTTGCCATTGTTGTTGGTCAGAAGTGTAAAAAGACATTTGACATCAGAGTGTCATTTACATCAAAAAGTATTGAAGGCACAAAAGGAGTAACATTGAAAGTTTTGCTTTTCTTGTCTTAAAAATTTACACCTTTTGATTGTTTCTTTTTAATTTCTCGATTGACTATTTGCGTCAATATACATTGACGCAAATGAAAAGATGTTTTACCTTCACTTTCTACTTCTCTTTCTTTTATCGAAATTATTGTATAAAAAGAGATTGGTTTTATTGAATAATCATCATTAAAGTTATGGTTTTATTATATAAACATTGCTTAAATAGTACCTAACCTATTCTTTTTGATCAGAAGGATAAAATCAAACAAAAAAAACAGAAACTTGGTTGAATAGTTTGATGTTTATGTTAGTTTTGGGACCAATTTATCAAATACTTTGTGTGTGGTCAACATTGGTCTTAAAGTTTTTGTTTCCAACAGGGACTTTGGTCACATTGTAGGTGGGGAATGTGAAGATTACCACTTTTCCCTTATTTGCTGCCCATTTTCTTTCCCATTTTGCCTTTGTCCCTAACCATAGCCCGAGGGTAAACATCTGCATTTGTAATTTATTGCTTTGTTTACTGTTTCTTGCTTTCCCAATTTATGGCATTGTTTACTCTTTCCTTTTTTCCCTTTTCTCCATACCCTGGGGAGAAACATCTTCCTAGATGGAAGAAGAAGCATCAAGAAAAGAAAAAGTCACTTAAGTTGAAATGTTGGATACAAGCACATCATCCCTCTAATCTCTGTACCCTTATCTTATGTTTTTGCCCGTTTATTTTACCTTTTCTTTTCTCTTTTTGAAGCTAAATAAAGAGGTATTCTTATATACTTATATTTATGTTCACATTTATTTTAACCCTAATCCCACATCCTTAATGTTTTCACATATTATCGATACGAGTAATAGTATTGATATTTCACTCAACAATAATCGATACTGTGAAAAATAGTATCGATATTTTCGATATTTTCTGGTTGTAAGTGCAAATAAAGAGAGGTTTATGTTTGCCTTTGTTTGACTGAAATCTCCATTTTATCGTGAATTAAGCAAAGGATTTGTAGAATCCTTTGAAATTTTTTTGCCTGCAATCAACAAAATGTTATTCTCAAATGAATTGAGGTTCAAAATTAATCTTTTGACTTCCATTGAACAACATTCAAGCACCAAGTCTGCCAAAAGTTTTCCTGAAAATGCTCATTATCTTCTATACATTGTAAGTTAATCAAAATTTTGTGTCACATTTTTAACGAAAATTTCTGTCGATTTCAGATGACGACAAGATGACGACATGATGCAAGACTCTTCTTCGACTCAAACTGCTACTAGCAATACTGAATTCAATTCATTAGTACAAGGGCCCATTGAGACGTCCAGAGAAGATATCCAAGACACGGGCCCCAATAGCTCAGATACTGAAGTGGGGCCTAAAATACGAAGAAGTCAAAGGGCCCGCAAAGCTCCTCAAAGATACTTACCATAATTAACCAATTAAATCCTATTTAACCAAAAATAACAAAAAAGCAAAAAAAAACGTCCGAAAAATCCAAAAAAAATCAATCTTTATTGTTATGAATCTTAACTATAGTTCAATACATTATTCATCCCGAATGTCTCTTCTTCTTAGCCAATCGGCCCTTTTGTTAAAATACAGTTTTAACTCATATCCACTTGAAAAGCTCACCATGACATTTTGTTCAACATGTGTGGACAGATGCCGATAGATGTTTCTCCATCTTTTGCTATCCCTTGGAGCGTCAAACGCACAAAGCTTGCAGCCAATACGCCCATTCCGGACCAAGATTAACTCATCAGTTCTAGGCCCCCTAACTTCCCTTAGCTTTTCTTCGGGATCCCAGCCAATCTCATTATCAGGTCGCATTACCTCAGGAGACTCGTGTCTCCTAGAGGGCCCAGGCTGAGGGTCTTGGACCATAGGCTCGAGTTGTGGATCAGGTTGGAGATGCATCCGAGGCTGCCAAGGAACGCGTCTAAGCCGTCGATTTCGTCGTCGACCAGGGGCCCTAACATTATCCAGTTGTGGCTGGTAGTCACTATCTCCTTCATCCGAGGACTCAGAAGAATCTGTTGAAAGCTCCAACCGAACCAAAGGAATAATCGGAGATCGAGACCTTGAAGCAGACCGGGATCTAGATCGCTGGATGTTTCCAATGGGACCAGGGCCATTCTCCACCTCGGCCATCTCTTCGGTATCAGAACCACCCACGGCTACTAAAAAAGGGGTCTCAATAATACAAGGCCACCATAACAAAGGCTACAAAGCAAGGGTCCAAACTTACTGGTTGCATTGGGGTGAGTTAGTGGGTACGTCCAAACCATTGTAATGAGAAAAATAAGAAATATATAAGTAAAATAGTGACAAGTAATAGTAATGAACTCGTATACTGACAAAGATGTTGTGACAAAAGTTGATGTAGTATTTTTATATGATTTATGTTTACTTAAACGACTAGGGTCAGTCGTTTATCGAGGTTGGGCGAATGTAAGTGGAAAAATTTTATTGTTTATTATCTTGGACCCTGCACTCAAAAATGAGCGTGAGAATAAGTACTCATGACCCCTGTGCCCAAATGGACCCTTGACTTAATTTGAGACACCAAACAAACACCAAGTAAACAATTCTAGGAAATATATACGAAAGACAAGTTGTAAAGAATCGTTCCAAGAATTGTTTACTGGTTAGCCTTGGGAGCCCCTAAGTGAGTGCGATAGCTGATATAAAAGACCCTCAAAAAGCGAGCTAAAGTTAGTGTGAATTTAGAATGCGAAAACTGTATTTGTACTCATTATCTTTGTTAAAATAAAGAACTCTTATTTGTTTAATTGTCCCTTTTACCCATTTATTAGCTCCCTGGTTCCCTAGATAAGATTCCTATTTCTTATGAGTGGACCCTCGCTAAAATCTTATCTTGTTGGCCCAAGTTCTAGGGCCCACTGTTTACATCTACTTCAGTTGAAGTATAGTGATATTCTTTACACTATTCATGCTACAATGATGTTTTATACATCAAATAAAAGATGCTTATTTCAAAAATGTATGAAGCATGTTTGTCCGATTTTCGGTTCTGAAAGAGTCATGGGTCGCCAGGATGACTTTTACCATTTTAATGGCTATAACAAAATATTGACTTTTAATATTGATTACTAAGTTAATTAAATTGAAATATTGACTAATTTTTCTAATTTATTATATTTATCTTTTCAGGTGGAGGCTTATCAGACAATGTTGACAAAAAATAGCTTGGTGGGTTATTTGGAACAGTTTATCATTTCATTTATTCATTTCATCCATTTATCATTTATTCATTGTGTTTCTCATTGTTTGAATCTCGTTGTGGAAGATGGATTGGAAAACAGTCTTTGTTATCTGATTTAGTTGAGAAAGTTCGTCCTCGAAATGAAAATCCTTTAAAGTTTTGGCAGTCAAACAAAGCCAACTGGCTACAACTTCATAATCTTGCGATTAAACATCTTACAGTTCAAGCTACATATTTTCGGATGATCTTGCTGTTTGTGTCTCCCAGTTCGGTCTTCATTTGCATCCAGTAAGGAAAACTGTGTTTCCAAAGCATTGACCCATCTAAAAAATGAAAAGCGAAGAAAAAGATAAAAAAACTTGAAAAAACACTTTTTGAACTTACTTAGAGATCGTTTGAATGGTTAGTAAATTTTCCTTTTTTTATTTTAAAGTGGGTTTCGAACCTTTCCTGAGCTGCAACAGCATTTTCATAATTTTACCATAAAAAATCGTTCTTCCGGTGTCCAAGACATTTTTCTTAAAAACTTTTTGAAAGTCTGAAAATGCGTTTTCTATGAATCTCCCGTCCGAAAAAGGAAGTACAAAAAATTTGGTGGCAAAAAACACCAGATGGCGCACCAATAGCGAATTTAAAAGTTAAACGACTTTTGGGACACGGTGTAGTTGCATATTTGCCACAATATGCAATTATTCTTTTCATTTGATCAAAGCTTA